TGCCCAGGTTTGCTATGCTGAATCTCTCTTGTTTGTCCCATGGCTTATAGAAATGGTTGTGGCTGTTTCTTCCGTCACTGTTACTTGTAGACACCCCATTTTTAACCGACCTTAAGACTCAGACGTCCCCGATTGAGTGCTCGGTGATAGTGCATATTGTGCTTGTTTCGAGGTTTCGGAGTTCTTGGCTCAGAGCTTTGCCTCCGGACCTCGGGACCCTCTGTACTTTGACTCGGTCCGCAGACCAAGTTTTGTTTTCTCTTTCCGGAGGGAGGGAGAGGTCTTGTAGACCATCTCTCAGTGGTCGTAGGCTACTTTTCGTGGTCGTAGGCTACTGTTCCCATTTGGAGACTAGTTTCCAGTTTTCAGAGCCGTCGGCCGTGCGCCTCGGCTCGAGACCGCTTAACATTCTCCGTTTGGCACGGTTTTTGGAACACACCTCGTTTCCTCTGTCTAGGGGGACACTGTGGCCCAGGAGACCACTTTTGTGGTCATACGCCACTTTCGATGCTCGACAGCTGGTTTTCGGGGCTTCCGGCCGAGCGTCTTGCCTCTCGAACCCTCGTCTTGCACCCGTTTTGGTTTGTCTTGGGTACAAACCTTACTTTCCTTGTTTGGGGAGTGGTACAAGGGTGGGAGACTAGCTTTTATCCTTGGAAACCACTTTTCTCCCCATCAGCCGGTTTTTTGGTCGGGAAACTGGTTTTCTTGGTCTTTGGGCCACATTTTCTGGTTTCCCACCCCACCATTGGCTTGCTTTCAGTGTGGAGACCACCAATTCCCCTGGCCGACCACTTTTTGCCTGGGAAACCACTTTGGGTGGTCAGCCGACCACTAAAAGTAGCAAGCCGACCACCTTTTCTAGTCGGTAGCTTTCCCCCTATTTTGTCAGACTGAATGGATGCCAGCTGTGCCAGCTGAAGGGCACAGACTGTATCCTCCATACACGTGTATGGAGGGATTGCATCCATGTTTAGCTTCTCCAAGAAGCTTGGACCCTTTGTTTTTCTATAAGAGAGGGCCTCCCTCTCCTTGGTTGAGGTTCAGAAAAATTTCCTAAGGCAAGCATATATCTCCCTCTATATTTCTATATTTTATGCCTTAAAGAGTGGTTTGCTTTACACTTGTGCATATAACTCTTAACCACACACCCCACCATTGAACTAAGGCTCTTAGAGGACCTTTCTTGGAGGTTGAAATGCTGTTTTTTGGCTGAGAAACTTGCTGGTTTTGCTGAGCTTCAAGGGTAATCTCTTTTCCCCTCTTTTAAGCTTTGTCTTGATCATTCTCTTAGCCATACTTGCATGCTTATTTGAGCTTTGTTTTCAACTAAAAAAAGCTTCATTTTTTAGCACTTAACTTGTTTGTTTAAGGCCTCTTGAGTGTTGAGGGTCTCCTACCCTCTTGCATGCCTTGTTTGGCCTTGTTTTGTGCCATGCCTTAGGGCCTTTGAGCTAATCCTTACTTGGCCTTTTAACCACTGAAATCCAGTGGTTTTTCAGTGATTGGTATGCGGTTTTGAGGTCCTAAATCAGAGAGGGGTCACCCTCTCTCTTGTTGTCTTGTTTACTTGCATTTTTGGCCTATCAAAGGAGCATGTGTTTCTTCTATTTTGAGGCTTGGTTCAAGTACTTTTTTGTGACTTCTAGGACCTGCCTTGACTCTGTCCATGGCTGATTTTGTCACCTTTTGCATGCTTTTTGTATGTGTAGTGTAATCCCATTTGTGGCTCATCAAAGTAGCATGTCTTTCTAGCATGTATGGGCTCCATTTCAGCAGGTTTTTGGTCATTATTTAGCATGTCATAACTCTGTCTAAAGTTGGTTTGATAGCCTCTTGCATGCTTCATGTACTTGTAGTATAAATCTTGCTTACTAGCTTTGTATGCATGTTGTTTTGGCTCATCATTCTAGCATATTTTGGCTATGCTCCAACATGATTTTATTCATATTTTGGGTTGTTCTAGGACTGTTTTGGGCTGCTATGGTCATATCACTCGTGTTTTGTATAGTTATAGTGCAAATGCTTTGGCTAGTCTTGAGTTTTGAGGTCCCTAGCATGCTATATTTGTGATGTTTGCATACCTTGGCATCATTTAGCATGGAATTTCAGAGCTTATATCTTTGCCATACTCTCATGTTTATCGCTCTTTAATTGTATTTGAGAGTTGAGCTTTGTGCCTTGCTTGCGAGCCATCATTTGGGCATGCTTTTTCTTGCTTAGCATGCTATCATTTCAGTCCATTTCAGCTACTGTTTTGACCTGCATTAGGTCTGTTTTGAGTGCTTTAGGTCATTTGAGTATTGCTTGGTATAGTTGTAGTGTAAAGCCCTTGACTAGCTTTGTATTTCAAGTCTCTTGGCATGCTTTATTTGAGCTATTTGCATGATATGGCATGTAATTTCAGAGCATATAGACTTGCCATGCTCCCACTTTTGTCACCCCTTGAGTGCCCCTAAGGGTTGTGTTCTTGTTGCCTAGCTTGTGGACCAATATGTGTGCATGTGTGTCTTGCCTTTTGATGCCTTAGTCTTGGTGTTATGGCCGCTGATTTGGACATGGCTGAGGCCTATTCATTTCGGTTTAAGTCCTTTGCGCATTGAGTATGTCATGTAGTTCGTAGCATTGAGCATGCCATGTTGTTACATGATTGACCATTGCACTTGGGCATGCCATTTTCATTGCATTATGCATGTTAGTTATCATGTGCATTGTGTATGCAAGCGTCATGAGCATTATGCATGCCATGTAATTCATAGCATTGTGTATGCTAGTTGCATGTTTGCATGTCCATCCCTTGCATGTTTACATGTCTAAGTGGTATCGCATTAGGTTGCATACTTGAGGTCGCATTGTGCATGACATGTTTTGCTGCATTGTGTTTGGGATAAGAGTCAGCCCAAACACGAGAAACGAGGCACGCTTCATACTCAAAGTGATGAGACGTACCTCGATTCCTGGTCGCCGACACTCTTGACTATACATGACGGAGTTCTAGGCTTTAGGTGTTTATATGCGCATTCATTCCATATTGAGTTGTGCAATCCGGCCCCTAGGCCATCATGCATCGAGATGCGTGATTGGTGGCCCGGAGGTCGAGACCTACACTCCCTTGAGCTTATGTAATGATAGGGAGGGTGGTTGCGCATACATGTGTTGCAAACACTTTGCCATGCCCCTTTCTTGCCCTCTGTTGCAGAAAACTAGAAATCAACAGCAAAAACTGGTCGGCAGACCAAATAAAGTAGCAGGCCGACCACTTTTTCTGGTTTTCACCACAAAAACTGGTCGGCAGGTGGTCTCCAAAGCCAACAGCTGGTCGGCAGCCTTCCCAAAGGTTCCCTTGGTGGAGTTTCAGCCTTCTGGAGCTTTGTGCAGTGTTCTAAGATCAATTGCAAACAGAGGCAAGTTGGGGTGTCGCGAGGGATTTCCAAACAAGGCGACTCGAGCATGCATGCGTCTTTTGTCATCCAAAATAGAGCTGAGGCAGCCTACATCATATAGTTTATATGCTTATTTAATTCCTAACTTAGTTAATTTGTTAATTGGTTAGAGTTGTGTAATAATTAGCTGTAGCTTGTTATTCATTCTGTTGTGTAATAACTAGTTTAATTAGATTAGCTTAGATTAGCTAGTTGGTTCTGTATTATTCATTCGGACCCTCCTCCGAGAGGGCAATGTTGTAAATAAGTGTGCGTGTGTGTGATGCATGTCTTTCAACCCCCATTTCTTTCTCTCTTTTATTTACCAGCTTACAATGATTAGTTTTAGGGCATGCTTCAATTAGCATCCTTATGCTCGTATGTTTGCATCAATTCATCTGTCTTGCATGCACCGGACTCGGCGCATCATACTAACTGCATTGTATTTCAATTCCTGTTTGAATACATGTATCAAATTGCATTTCACATGACATTTTAGAATAGCCGAGCCTATCTTAGTTGCATTTTGTATGTGTTGCATTAGGCATTCTTGACATAGCTAGGATCATGCATTGATTTCTAACATAGCTTTTGTTTTGGCTCGGAGTACTCGGTAAGTGTTTATGCTTTAGCAGCCTTGCATGTGTGTGAGTAACTGCCATGATAGCGCGCTTGCCATGAGGCTAACTGCTTATGTGATATAACTGCCTGAATGTCTGTGGGTGAAGGTTGGATTACTTGAATTGGAACAATTCATGGATTGCGAGTTTTAAGCCCACTTAAGAGCGGCAAATCACCATGTTTTCTAAGCCCACTTGAGGGTGGCAAAATCCACATTTTAGCCTACTTGCGAGTAGCAAACCGCTTTAAAAAACAAACATGAGATGTTTTGTTCCAACTTAGGCGATCCAGTCTATACTTGTATGTTGTGCGCATCACATAGTAATTCTAGGTTAATAACCGGAATAAGAGCACATGTGTTTTCAAAAACAAGATATCATGTTTAGTAGTGGCCGATCTTTGATCGGGTGAGCGGGGGTGCTCATTGCATGACCTTCCCCTCTCGTACCCAAGTTCCCGAGCCGAGGCAACTTTAGTGATGACGGACACGTGGCCTTAGGCACGAGTCAGGGTTTCCTAAATTCCCCCAAAATAAAATATTTAGGTGGCGACTCTGTATCTGACAAAGCAGTCCATGTTTGGCACTTCTTTCTAAAAATCAGTTTTTCAAAACGATTTGCCAGATTTGGACTCTTTGGTGATTTATCAATCTCGCATTGCACTTTGCAAGATCAGATTAAGAACCGTGACATTGAGTCCGAACTGTAGTGAGCCTAATGAACAAAACGGGATTTTCCCGGGACGTTCAGGCGCGTCTACACTACCTAACCAGCTTTTTTTTGACATATTGCACAAAAACATCTCTCATGCATGTCTTCAGAATTGGATGCTTCAGGGTATGTTTTTTTGTTGGAGATACTTATCAACTTTCCAACAGTCCCTTTCTCTGAGGGTGTTTGGATTTAATTCTCCGTGTGCATATGGTGTGTGCGCCTATGTATTTGGATTAAAAATTACCACCTTGTTTGCGTGCAGGGGGACTGATTTCCTCTTCAAAGTTTTGCATTGGTTCCACATATTCATGATGGTTGCTACAAATGTGAGTGCTCATGGTGGTTGGGATTAACATCATTTTTCCTCACTTGTGTGCATTTCAATTTATACTCAGGTTTGAAATTACGAAAATTTATAAGTTTTTTCTGTTACTTTTGTTTTGGGTTTCTATTTGACAATACATTTTATCATATGGTTATCTAGTTTGGTATAATTGGTTCGTGAGATATGAAATTGGTCAAGATTTTGTACCATTAAGCCGTACAAACATTTCTCTTTCAAGAAAGTTTCTTTATCCTTTTGATTGAAAAAATACAGCTGTGATGTCCTTCAGTTGGGGTAGTTCCAAAAGCTACATAGAATTCGAAGAAAAAAAATATTATGTGAACGTTATATTTGGTAGCCTTAAACGATATCAATCAGTGTTATCAAAGGCGTGAGTAAGCGCTCGCCTAAGTGCTAAGCGAGGCGAGGCGACAATGTAACGCTTCAGACTCACTGAGGCGAGGCGAAATGGTGAGGCGAAGTCGAAGCGCATGAGGCGAGGCTTAGGTGACGAAGCGAGAGGCAATTCGAAGTGACTCTTCATTAATTTCGGTCTGATTTCAGTTCGACAGATCTGGGCCCTTCATTTGGATGGCTTTTGTGCTAATTGTGGACATGCGATGCACTTTATGATTGCTTTCTTCTTCATATGTCGACTTCCTCTCAGTCGAAACCCTAAGTCGACTTCCTCTCAGTCAACATTTGCTTCGAACGACTGACTGACTACCTGTGATTGCTTCTTCCTTCTTCGGACAAAAGTGAGTACCTTCCTTTCTTCTTCTTCTTCTTCCTTTCTTCTCCTCCTACTGCTTCGTCTTCGTCTTTGTCTTCTTTTCTTCTTTTCTTCTTCTTCCTTTCGTCTCTTCTTCCTTTCTTCATCTTTTTTTTTTTTTCACTCTAATCTGAAAAATTTTACTCTGTAGGTAGACCTTTTATTTTTTATTATTTTTTTAATTTATTTATTTATTATTTTTTTATTTATTATTTTTTACTCTGTTGCTTTGAAAAATTATACTCTGTATACTCTCTTCTTCCTTCCTTTCTCTCTCTCTCTCTCTCCTGGTTCTGTTAATTATTTTGTTAACTCTACTCTGTTAATTTTTTTCTCTGCTTGTCTCCTTTCTTTTTTTTTAATTATTTTTTTTGTGTTATTTTACAATTATTTTTCTGTGTTAATTATATAATTATTTTGCTGAAAAAATTTCAATTAATTTTGCTGAAAAATTTCAATTATTTACTGAAAAATTTTCAATTATTTTGTTGAAGAATTTCAATTATTTAATGAAAAAATTTCAATTAATTTTGCTGAAAATTTTTAATTATTTTGCTGAAAAATTTCAATTGCTTGGTTGGTTAGAATTAATGAAAAAATTTCAATTATTTAGAACCTTTGGATTGTTGGATTGTATTTGTCTTTGTTGGATATTTTCTGTTGTTCATGGATATTTAGTATTTGGAATGATAAATGCATGATGGTTCTTGAAAATATTTATGTTTTTGTCTATACTATTTATTTTTAAAAAATATCGTTTGTGGTCGCCAGGATTCGATGAAGCCCTTGCCTCGCCTTGCCTCGCCTCACCTCGTGCTTACGTGTTAGGAGACCTTGTCGCCTCGGTTCGCTTTTCGCCTTAATAAACACTGATATCAATTATGATCCAAGTAACCGACTCATGAAGTGGGAGTGAGAGCAAAAGCAGGAGAATTGGGTTGAAGATGCTTTAAAGTAGTGGGATCCACTACTTTAAATGGGGCCCACCCCACTATTTTAGCCAGTTGGAGAGGAGAGTATTGTTCACCCACTGATAAGTGAGTGAATAAAATAATTATTCCTAGAGTATCCAATCCTAGCCAAAAAGTCACTATAAGTTGTCACATCACTCTCTCTACTTTTCTGCATCTCTTTTCGTAAAAAGTCAAAAATATTACTAAAATAGTCTGTTCCCAAACTAGGCCTTAATTATTGTTTGTATTTAACCTAGCTTCACAATCTGAATGACACATATCTAAAATAACAAAATAATTCCTAGAGTACCCAACCCTACTAATATAATTGGGCCAATTGTTTATTCTTTCACTTGTTGTTTGTATTTAACCTAGTTTCGCAATCTGAAAGACACATATCTAAAATAAATTATTAACAGGTGGGAACCACCTCTAAAATAATTTCATTGATATGTGACAGATCATTGTCCTACTATTAAACTAATGTGCCATATCTATATGAAGGGGCTAATATGTTAGGCGGTGGAGATGCTCTTTCTTCCTCCTTCAACATTGACTTGGTAGAACAAAGAGCATGGAAGGAGGACAAAATTCAAGTAGTCAATCTCCTTTAATTCCAAACCAAGAAAGAAATGACCATGACTCTGATGGAGAGGCACATCAAGTAGGTTGTGGGGCAGAAATACTTGAAGAAGCAAAGAAGCAGCTAGGATTAGCAGGACCTCTTATAGCAGTTAGCTTGTTGCAGTACTGTTTACAAATGATTTCGATCATGTTTGTCGGCCATCTCGGCGAGCTGCCTCTCTCCGGTGCTTCCTTGGGAACTTCCTTTGCTTCAGTGACTGGTTTCAGTGTACTGGTAAGTGAATTTCAGCTATAGTTTTGTTGGGATATTCTCATATATTTGGGTGTGGATGCACTCATAGATAGACTTGAGTCATGACATTCATGTTTTGGGCCTACAACCAGGCAAAACCAGACATTGTCTGGTTTCCCTGATAGGCTTGGGCTAGTATCTTCAGAATTTTATTATTGGGCTCAATTGGGACCTCTATATCTTCTCAGAAAATGCAGAGTTCACTTATGTTACAATGCAATTGGGCAAAGATGCCAAGAAGCATAATCAAATTATAAATGGCCCAAAGTTAGTCTTAGTTTCCACAATAAGGGCCTAAACTTATGTCAACCAATGTCTAAGGTATTTGTGTTTTTTTTGGTCTTTAATGAACTTGTTATAAAATATTTGTCAAAATTTTGTACTTTTTAGGTGATTTTAGACTAGAAGCTCCTAAATTTTTTTAAAATAAAAATAAAATAAAATAAAAGAGGACAAAATTTGAAATTTAAAAAAAAAAATCCTAAAATTTAAAATAGATCAAATTATAAATAAATAAATAAAAAGCCAAGAAAACCGACTTGTTTTCGTCTTCAATGGGATTTTGTTTTTTAAATTTTCGCAGCCTCTAGTCTTGAATCACCTAAAAAGTACACAAATTTGACAAATTGATTTTAAAAAGTTTACTAAAGAAAAAAATCGGAAGAAAATTGGCTTAAAAAGGTGGTTGCTAAAGAGAAAAATTTAAGATATGCTATCAGGTCAGATTCAAAATATACAAATTCACCCACAATTTCATATACAAAAGAAAGAAGAAAAAAAAGTACCATATGCCTTTATGGATTTCCTGATCACTTGAGCTTCAACATGTCACAGCAAGTTTGGAAATTTAGCTTGGAGGTCATGACCTTATCAATACATTACTCTCTTAGCCTCATTTCTTACCACCCAAATCTTCATCCTAAAGCATTTCTAAGCGCCCTCACAACTTGTTATGTAGTTAGGAATGGGAAGTGCAATGGAAACACTATGTGGACAAGCCTATGGAGCCAAACAGTACCATATGCTCGGTGTTCACACGCAACGAGCAATGCTAACACTTGTAGGTTTAAGCCTTCCTCTAGCATTGATTTGGTTCTACACAAGCACCATCCTGATTGCTTTTGGTCAAGATCATGAGATATCAACGGAAGCAGGAAAGTTTAACCGTTGGATGATTCCGAGCCTTTTCGCCTATGCATTGCTTCAATGTCTAAATAGATTCTTACAATCTCAGAACATTGTTATTCCAATGATGGTAAGCTCTGGAATCACAGCTCTGTTCCACATTCTCATATGTTGGGTCTTTGTGTTTGAAATTGAACTTGGAAGCAAAGGTGCTGCCTTAGCAAATGCCATCTCAAATTGGGTTAATGTGCTCTTGCTGGCAATTTATGTGAAGTTTTCACCAGCTTGCATGAAAACTTGGACTGGCTTTTCAAGAGAAGCATTGCATGATATTCTTAGCTTTTTGAAGCTTGCCTTTCCTTCAGCAACTATGATTTGGTAAGGCACCATTTGGCATAAACTAAATAAGTGCACTTATTTAGTTGAGTTCTTTGTTCCTATGATCTAGATTCTAGAGGCATCCATTTTAAAATTTTAGTCCATATTTAGTAGTCACTGTAGTGGTCGTTTTATCTATAGGAGAATGACATTTGTTAGTACTTTTCTGATCGATGCTTCTATATATCACCGGAATATTTCATTGAACTTTCTTTTTACTTCGCTTTTCATGTGGCATGGTTGGTCCTATTGTTTTTTAGCATTTGTTTTATAGATACATGGAAGTGAAATAAAACCATTAAATATATCTGGTGACAAATATCATTCTCTTTGTTGATCACCACTAATAATGACTGACTATACATGTATACTTATTTATGTTTGGTTGGTAACTTTTTCTATTATTTGAGCTGCAGCGTTGAATATTGGTCGTTTGAGATGGTTGTTCTGTTATCTGGTCTTTTGCCAAATCCACAACTAGAGACATCCGTATTATCAATAAGGTGTGTATGAAGTTCAAGGACTCCAAAGTTATGAATATGAAAAATAGTTAACAGAACTTGCATGGGTGGCCTCGTGGCTAAGGGTTTGAACATAGGAGCTCCACCGTGGGGTAATTCTCGGATGTTCGACTCTCACATAACGCAACACTCTCTGTCTTAATTGGTATGCGTGAATTATAAGTGATTGTGCATTTTCAAAACTTATTCACAAGGCCTTGTACTGGATGATAGTGTAAGCCAATCGAAATTCTCCATCACCAAAACTAAAAAATAAATATATTTGACATAGATTTGACATTTACAATCAGTTGAAGATATTTTTATGGATTGACAATAAGATTTACATGAGTTATTGTTTACTTTTGCAGCCTCAACACATGCTGGATGGTCTATATGATCTCTGTTGGTCTTGGTGGTGCAATAAGGTCATTACACTTATTGTACTGGTTTTCTCATTACATTTCTGGAAAAACAAGAAACAATTTACAACCAAAAAGTTCTGTCTTCCATTGTTTGGCCTCTTTAACTAATTATCTTTGTTCTTGTCATTATTACAGTACAAGAGTTTCAAACGAGTTGGGTGCTGGGTGCCCACAAGGTGCACGTTTGGCTGTGTGTGTTGTGGTTGTAGTGGCCATTTTAGAGGGTACAATAGTTGGAACAACTACTATTTTGGTTCGACATGTATGGGGAAAGCTCTTTAGCAATGAAGAAGAAGTAATCAGATACATTGCTAGGATGATGCCATTGCTTGCACTTTCTGATTTCTTGGATGGTTTCCAATGTGTGCTTTCAGGTTATTTATTATTTATTATGAGCTTTTTACCCATAAATTTTATTAGTTATGGTTAGGGGGGTGATTGGTTCGGTTCCGTCAGCTTGATAGAAAATTTATCACCAAACTAAACCTTTCAGCTTTGTTGGTCAAGGAACCGAAACTAACCACATGTGACAGTTTGGTTTTTATCAGATTTTGAAAAACCAGCTGAAATCAAAATTTTGGTCGGTTTTGAACGACCAAATCTTGTAACTAACTTTTCTCACAGCTATAATCTATTTGGTTGTGCTATAGCACACCCCTCTTTTTGGTGCATAGCATATACACTTGTCATTTTGTGCCTACCCCAAAATTAGTTTGGGGCACAACCAAAACAACCATTTTGGGCATAGCCAGCACCATTTTGAGCTATAAACAAACATTATTTTGGGTTGTAACAAAGGCTGAGCCACTTTAATTTGATCATAGATGAGTCCTACCATCGCTTTGTAACATAATCAACAATATCATTTACATATGATCACACCTATTAAGGGGTGTATAGTACTAAATACTTGACCTAATCTACATATTGGATTTTTAGGGGCTGCTAGAGGATGTGGCTGGCAAAATCTGTGTGCCTTCATCAACCTTGGTGCTTACTATGTTGTGGCAATTCCTTCTGCTGTGCTCCTTGCTTTTGTTTTCAATTTTGGAGGCATGGTGGGACTCTCTCTCTCTCTCTCTCTCACACACACACACACACACACACACACACATATGACCAACACTTGAAAATATCTAAATTGTTACAAGCAGGGACTTTGGATGGGAATTATCTGTGGACTGTGTGTACAAATTATAGCACTTGTTACAATAAATCTGTGCACTAACTGGGATCACGAGGTAATTACTTTCCTTCCTCTAAAACGTACTTATTTTTCTTTCGTGTAATGTTAGGATAATCAAATTATTATTCTTAAAATTATATACCAAATTTTATTAATGTATTAGTAGTATAATAAATGGTAAGTGGAGTTCCCTGCATTAATATGCTGATGGCATTTCATTTAATATATAACTTGTAATTTAATTGTTTGGTCATCACATCGATGCTCTTTTCTTTTCACCAAGGCAATATGCATCAGTTGGCTATGGAATCCAATTACCTTGACCTGTTGCTTCATGGTTTTACCATTTAGGAAAATCTTATACTGACAATGTTTTGCTGTAGTCACGATTTATGTACTGTTATTGTCTTTTAGTAATTATATATATTGAAATACTTTAGAAATTGTTTGAGCAATCCAATGGTTAAAGTTTTTCTGATCAAATCGATTCTCTTAAGAGCAATGCATGTAGGTGAACTCTATAAAATGGTAGGTTCTTGTTTGTGAAAAAAAAAAATGAAAAAATACAGAATAACTTCGAGTGACAATGCATCCTGTACCCTATTTGACAGCATCAAAACCCAACTCCACATAGTCAAATTTTTACACCAGTGGACATAAGCAAACAGATTTTCCATGTACTTGTTAATGTGAATTCAGCTATCTTAGTACGTAGCAGTAGAATTAACTTGTTGGTTCTTCTTTCCCTCTAACAAGAGGGGTATCAGGTATGTGGTCTTATATTTCAAAGGCTACAAACAGAATTTTTGTACAGAAATTTTGTACCAAATGATATGGTTGTCTGTGATCCTTTTCATTTCTAGCTAAAACACCTACTAATATGCCATTACCACATCATTCTAGATGCAATTTATGTATACAAATTATGTTTGTAAATCACTTTCCTATTTGTTTGCTTTCTTGAATAACATCTTTCTTTTATCTTCTCAGGCAAGGAAGGCTTTAAACAGAATCCAAAAGACTCACATGGTTGTTGGTGACTTGGTGACTACATAACACCATAGAGCACAAAAAACACAGCAAATCAAACTAGGGTTAATTATATTTTTTGTCCCCGAGATAGGATTTTCGTCTCCTATGTTCAAATTGTGTTAATTTGATATTTCAATTTGATTCTCAATATTTAAATTGTATCAATTTAGTACCCAATGTATAAATATTGAAACTAAAATGATAAAAGGCTTAAAATTGATTAACCATCAAACTATGAATGCATTTTCTGTTGGGCAAAAAGAAGCGTACTTCAATAACTAAAGTTGATTGAAAAAAAAAAAAAAAAAAAAATTCCAGTTGATTTTGTTAATTAAACTATTGAGATGCACATAAATTTAAAAATTGAAAACTAAAATGACACTAACGTTTTAAGAACAAAAAATATAATTAACCCTATATTTTATGTATCCTTTACCCTTTTGACTGGCAGATTGAGATTGACAAAAAGTTGCCTTATTTTTATTAAAAACATGTCATTAAAACATCTATGATAATAATACTAAAGTTACACATAACAAGAAGAACCCAACAATTGTTACATCAGAAGAAGCTGGTAACATGGATCCAAGGTTCATCATTTACGGCGGGATTTGAGCTCATTGATCAAACCAACAACATCAGCATCAGACGACCCATCTGGTTCAACAGCTTTCTTAGCCTTTTCACTCAACTCTCTTGCCCTCCTCCTCATCTCCTCCACCTCCCCACCACCACCCATCAGTCGTTTCACCGCCGTCTCCACCTTCTCTCTCGTGACCGTCACCTTGGGTTCCCAATGCAACGACATCCACTCCTCGTTCCCCACCCAAATCCCCGTCTTCAACACATCCACCACCAAACTCTCAATATAGAATTGCTCTACTGCTAACGGCCACGTAATCATCGGAAGACAAGCACATATTCCCTCCACCGTCGAGTTCCACCCACAGTGAGTCATGAACCCTCCCACAGCACGATGTTCCAAAATCAGCAATTGTGCGGCCCAACTCCTCACTATCAACCCTTTCCCCGATTTCGTCATCCTCTCCTCAAATCCCTTTGGAAGCACTCTCCTTCCACTGCCTTCTTCGTGCTCGCCGCTCTCTGGCATATATCTGGCCATCCAAATAAACGAGTGGCCAGAAGCTTCTAGAGCTTCAGCGAGCACGAAGAACTGTTCGGGAGCCATGCGAACTTGGCTCTCGAAACTAACATACATCCACTCCTCGTTCCCCACCCAAATCCCCGTCTTCAACACATCCACCACCAAACTCTCAATATAGAATTGCTCTACTGCTAACGGCCACGTAATCATCGGAAGACAAGCACATATTCCCTCCACCGTCGAGTTCCACCCACAGTGAGTCATGAACCCTCCCACAGCACGATGTTCCAAAATCAGCAATTGTGGGGCCCAACTCCTCACTATCAACCCTTTTCCCGATTTCGTCATCCTCTCCTCAAATCCATCTGGAAGCACTCTCCTTCCACTGCCTTCTTCGTGCTCGCCGCTCTCTGGCATATATCTGGCCACCCAAATAAACGAGTGGCCAGAAGCTTCTAGAGTTTCAGCGAGCACGAAGAACTGTTCGGGAGCCATGCGAACTTGGCTCTCGAAACTAACATAAAGAACTGACTTAGGCTCTTTGGAATCGAGCCAGTTCAAAATCGTAGCTCCATCAATGGAGTTGTTTTCGCCTCTCTGGGCCTTTTCTTCGTAGTTTTTGTTGAAGAGATAAACCGGTCCAACGAGCCATAGCTTTCTTCCCATATCGTTCTTGAAATACTCGGGATAAGGGGCTTCCAAGTCGTAATAACTGTTGATTATAACTCCATGGCTCTTCAACTCGGCATCTACAATGGCTTCAAAAACTTTGGCTCCTTTAGGTTCAGTGGTAAGCCAGCTTTGCGCCTTAAGCCTTGTGAATTCGATGTTGTGATTGGGATTGGGAAGACCTGGCGGAGCAAAGGTTGCCTTAGCGGAATCTACCTGTAGGAATTTAATTTTAATTTAATCCAATAATTGTATTCATACGATCTTATCAATTTTTATTTCATATATGAGAATGTAGTATTAAAGTGTACAACCTTTTATAAGTTGTTTTGATTTAGCTGTGGTCCCTTTTTCTATTCTAATCCTACGCTCAGTAACCGTTTGAAAAATCATTGCCTTGTCGGGGATCTCACAAGGTCTGTTTTGATAATCCAATTCACTCATTTTAAGGTGAATTATATTTTATATTTTTGCAAATTAGATTAAATTTTATTTTAATCAATCATTTTTTAATTGTATCACTAGATCTCTTATACTTTTGGTCAAGGTACAATATAACTCTTTTATTATTGGACAAATTACGACGATAGTCTTTATATTTTTGTTCTTATATCATTTTAATTCTTGTAATTTCAAATGGTTTGATTTTGATCATGATTTTATAATTTTGTCTCAATTTGATCTAATTAATTATAACTCTTAACAGTTATTTAAAAAATATGCACATAAATGTCATATGTCATACTATAAATTTAAAATTATAATACAAAGAATAAACTCAACGAATAAACTCAAGAATAAAATTATAAATTTACCCAACTCATGAGTTAAACTCAACGAATTTAGTAATATTTATTTCTTAAAAAATACAAATGATATTATTAATTGGACTAAATTGAAATAAAATTAAAAATTAAAAATTAAAATCAAGTCAATTGAAAATATAAGAATAAAAATAATACAAAGAATAAAATATACAGACCCCGTGTAAATTATCATTCATTATTTGGTGTTAAATTTCCTAGTAAAATTGTCAAGTGACTCCCATATTATACATTTCTTAAGAAAACGTCGTATTTTTCTTCTCTTTTCTATTTATCCTATATTTTTAAGTAGTTTCACACCCACTTCTTTACGATTCTCACATTCCATTTCCAGAGATTTTTGGAGGAATTGCAATTTGCACACACAACTAGTGCGTGCAGCGTTTCTAGCAACAGTAATTTCGGATCACAACAGATAATAACTACTTCACGTGTATATATATGCATATTTTAGCAGAAGTGGAGAGACAAAAGGAAAGTTCAAGGCTGAGACATCGAAGGAGCAGTGGCGGAGCCACAGTGGGTCCAGGGTCAGGTGTCCTGGGTTTTGAATTTTTTTTTTTTTTCAAATATAAAAGAAATATTTTAAATTAAAAAAATATAAAATATTATTTAGAATAAAATATCAATAACATTTTTAAAATTATGAGAATAATAATATTTGTTTTTTATTGAAAATAAAGATATTACGATAAGTTATATTATTATCTATGAAAATTTCAATACAATGGTGGCATCTATTATTATTGACATACAATTATAATTAATCTCAATGAAAATATGAAATTTATTAAATTGTTAATTACACTTGACATTTGGGGTTCATTGTCTATGTGTTTCTTTACTATTGGTTAGTGATATCATATGTCAATAATGACGTGATATTTCTATTATATTTAATTTTTACTGAAATTTTGTATAAAAAATTACTTTATCATTATATAATTTATTTTAAAACTTATATTCATGACTTCTTCTTTTTTCATATTGTCCAAAGTCTCGAACAACGAAGCAGAATATGAGGCTTGCATTGCCAGTCTAAAAGCAGCCCTAGAACTAGGGACAAGACGGTTGGACGTCATTGGGGACTCGAACCTTGCTGTATCCCAAGCTAAAGGGGATTGGAAGGTCAAAGAAGAAAAGATGACAATGTACCGCCAGACCTTGGACCTACTGATTTCTCGGTTTGAGAAGCTAAACTTCACTCATCTACTAAGAGAAAATAACAGGTTCGCAGATTCACTAGCAACTCTATCTTCCATAATAGACATCCCGTTTGGAGTCTGGATGTGTCCAGTCATTATCGACCAGAAATTTGTGCCGGCTTACGAGTCGATTGCTGCTATAGATGAGGTTCAAGATAAGAACCCCTGGCATTACGATATTTGGAATTTCTTGGAGAATGAAGCATATCCACCAGGGGTAAATGCCAAGGATAAAAGGGCAATCAGAAGAATGTCCATTCAGTTCATTATCTGCGGAGGTAAATTGTATAAGAGAGGTCATATGGGAATGCATAACCTGTGCGTTGAAGTTGAAGAATCGAAACGCCTGATGGAGGCCATCCATGGAGGGGAATGCGGTGCGCATATGAACGGGGTCATGCTAGCGCAAAAGATCCTCAGACAAGGTTTCTATTGGTCCACCATGGAGGAGGATTGTATTGGCTTTATTCGACGATGCCACAAGTGTTAGATCCATGCAAACCGCATGAACATTCCGCCGTCGAAGCTGTACAATATGACTTCGCCATGGCCATTTTCAGTTTGGGGAATCGATGTGATCGGGGCTGTCACTCCAAAGGGGTCGAATGGGCATGAGTTCATCCTAGTCGCGATAGATTATTTCACGAAGTGGGTTGAGGCCCAATCTTATGCGGTGTTGAAGGCGTCGCACATTGCAAAGTTTATCAGAAACAATATCATCTGTCATTATGGGGTCCCAAACGAGGTCATTTCAGATAATGGTTCCCACTTCAAGAAGGAAGTGATTGACTTGTTGGAAAAATACAACGTGGCTTTTCATAAGTTATCCACATACCGGCCGTAACCCAATGGAGCGGTTGAGGCCGCCAACAAGAACATCAAGCACATACTGCAGAAGATGGTGGAAACATACCGGGATTGGCCAGATAAGCTGCCGTTTGCTCTGTGGGGTTACCGGACGTCAATTCGAACTTCTACTGGGGCGACTCCGTATTCATTGGTTTATGGGATGGAAGCCGTTCTACCTATCGAGATTGAGGTTCCGTCATTGAGAGTGCTGGCTGAGTGTCAGATAGCCAAAGCAGATTGGCAGTAGAGTAGATTTGAAGAACTCATGCTCTTTGACGAGAGAAGACTAAAAGCACTGTACCATGTTTAAGGTTATCAGCACAGAATTGCTAGGGCTTTCAATAAGAAAGTTGAGTCCAGGAATCTAAAGGAAGGAGATTTGGTACTCAAGGATAACAGAGCTCCCATTCACGACCCTAGGGGCAAGTTCAGACCCAATTGGACTGGTTCCTACATCATCAAGTTGATCTGGTCAGGTGGGGCTGTGGTTCTGATGGATCAAGATGGCCTAGAGTTCTCCCAACCGATCAACATGGACAAGTTGAAGAAATATTATCCCTGAGAGGCTTGCTAGGCCGAAAACCCGAGAGGGCGACCTAGGCAAAAGTCAGAGCACAAAAAATTTTGAAATTATAAAAACTGAGCTCGCAAGGTTGAAAACCCGCAAAGGGCGGCCTTGGCAAAAGTTAGAGCATAAAAGAAGAGTGAAAATACTCGAGTGAACTCGAGCCTGAACTATGTAAGGCTTGATTCCCATCTTTGGGATACATAGGCAACTTCACCCTGAAGTTCAGCCATAAACTTTTCCCCAATCAACTTTCTCCATTTGATAATCTCGGCCATCTTTGTTTATTTAGCATTCAAGAGTTCGGTTATGATCTCCGGCGCAGTGCTTTTCAGACTAGGGGCAACTTTCCGTTGCTGTGTAGTGCCGCGGTACTATTCAGACTAGGGGCAACTTTCCAGTTGCTAGGATCCGAGGTTGTGCATCTCAGTGACAGATTTCAGGCGTTTCCAGTTCTGATCCATATCAAAAATGGTTTTGAAAAGTTTTAATAAAAGTTGACTTTGTTCAAAATTAATCTTTTTACAACTTAGACCATTCTTGGACCAAAGCGGAAAGTTTTCAGTACCCACAACCTTCAATTTCATTGATTTCAATATAGAGTTCTCCTGCTCTTGCATACAAATTGAAGTTGCTTTTTATTACATTCATAAAGAAAACTTAAAAGTTCCGATTAAAACAAATAAATTTGAGGAATAGTCAGGTGTTCTTGTTTCTCCTCCCAGAGTTGGTCGAAGCCTCTGATGCCAAGCAAACAGGAACTTGTGCCTCTTCATTGAGCCAATCCAAGCACTCTCCTAGAGCTGGTCGAAGCCTCTGATGCCAAAGTGGGCCCTTCCTGTGCCTCTTCATTGAGCCAATCCAAGCACTCATCAGACAAAGCGCAACTGAAAGTGGGAGCGGGGGCCAGGAGTTCTCGCGTCCTCCATGCTATGGCATACCGGGCGAGCTGTGCGCCTCGGACTGGGAATGCGGCCGGGTACTCTATCCCCTCTGACGGGCAAGTCTAATCATGGCCGAACTGGCATCGGAACCGGAACGAAAAATAGAAGACACAGTGTGTCATGCCAATCAATTGAATCCCAGGTTGACGGGTCATGTTATAACTCATTGCCGACAGGTTGAGCCAAGGGCAGCGCCAAGCGATGTGGTCTGCGGACAAACCGCACATCCAGTTGTACCCCCACCCCTCATCCAGGGCATCGACTAGGCGTTGTCGAAAAAAGTAGCTGCGAGCTGAGTATGCTGGGCAAGACTCCACAATCTATAACTTGTCCATCAACCACACCTGGGGAGAGATGAAAAAAATGAGAGAATAAAGAATAGAGAGATGTACGATGAGAGAAAAGAAAGAAAAGGGTTTTGTGAGAAAAATCGAGCCTGAGGGCTGAGTGATGTGAGCAATACATATGTGAGATTGGGTGGGAAACATTACCTGCAATAGTAGTGGGCTCCCCGCAAGCCTAGCCATCTCCCGGCGATGAAAAGCATCTAAGCCCATCAATGTCTTAGCCAATGTCATGGCGATGCAGCTCTTGCCCTCCTTCAAACCTTGGGCAACCTCGATCAACCGGACACTAAATCCACCGGAGTCCGGGGCAAGCAAGAAATGAGATAGCAAGCATAGGCAAAGCGCGTGTCGCCGATAGCCCTGCCAATGATGGTCGCCGCGGTCACCAGCATCAGAAAACCAGTGAACCAAGCTTGGGATGTCCAGCTTCCCATCGTGAACCAATGATCGAGCATCTTGCAAAGTGAGGCCGCACATTCGTCCTAGGGCTTGGACGTGACCAA